TGGTAATATCCTTGTGCTGATCTTCAGAGACACATAGAACTGGTAATGCTGTGCAAATTTGTTAACCATCTATGGAGCCTATGTACTTTTTATCAATGGTACATTTTCCCTGTACTATTATAAAATCTCTCTCTTCAAGTTCATATTTTCTCCTGTAAGTAGAGATCAAATGGTTCCCCACAGTGGAGACAGGGGCTCTTTAGATAGTAATGCTTTCTTCACATTTGTTTTTCCTGCAGGAAATCACAAAATGCATTACTGACAGAGACACTTGATTTGCAGTAAGATGCTGCTCTTAAGAGTGAGTCCATACAATACTACGTTTATGTTTATCACCTCTCAGTGACACTATAACAAATAATTGTTTGAGAAGGAAAATATTATCTTTTCTTGAATGTTATCTTCCAAACTCATCCTAGACTGACTTCTCCCTTTCACTGATCGATACCAGTAATAAAGATACTGCAGAAGAAATTATGCCCTCAGAGACACCCACACTGTCCCATTTCTCTCCACTAAGGCTGTGTAGTTATAGTTTGGCTGTCTCTCTCATTGCTGTGACCTTATCCCATCTCATAACATAAGCAACTTACAGCAGGTGACCTCAGTAAGAGTGTGCAAATTTCTGCCCTATTGTAAACATGAATACTTAAAACAAGTACTACTGTAGGAACCACAAGCATGAATGGCTCAGACACAGTGGCAAGGGAAAGCTATGTGAAACTAAACTAATCGGACAAACTTTCAGTCTGACATAGGACACTGGTGTCTGGATAGAGATTCTCATATGTCTTGTGTAATTCAGCCATCTGGAGTCACTCCTCACTTTGCTCTGAATGAAGGGGACAGAAGGGAAACAGTTAATTCTTTCAACCACATCAGATATTCAAACACAATTTTCCAGTGCCTCATCAATATATTTTGTCTTAGCTTATTTCTGAGAGCACACTAGACTTTCAGAGGTTGCTTCCATGGGCTCAGAGAGTAACAGAAAGCATAACAGTCAGACAAACAGAAATTCTCACAATGGAGCAGCCCCATTCTGAGATGAAGCCCCATCCATGCTGGTGAAGAACAGGTAACAGTGACAGAAAGAAAATCTACAGTCCTCTTGTCTTTACCATAACCCAGCCTCACACCAGAATTTATAGCTCTGCAACCACAAGCTGAGCTTTTGTTTCGTTGTATTGCCCTGCAGCAATGAAGACTCATACCCTACACTCTTCTAGTTTTGCATATGAGGATGTTTTTCCCTCTCTCCTTCCTCCTCCAATCCACCCAGAATTCTCAGACTTCTGGTATTTTCTCAGTTGAATGAACATTTCCTCCCCTCTTCATTCTGCTGTTAACTACAAGAGCTTAGGGTGCCATACTATAAGCCACAAAGCACAGCTGAAGGAAACAATTTCCAAAGGGGAACTATTTCTGGTCCAGGCCAGTTCAATGATTTTCACAGCGCAAAGTTCACAGTATAACCCCAAACCACTTTGTATTGCCTCAGATGAAAGGAGTATACTCTCCCTTCATTTGCACTTCTACCAAAGCTCCTGTGTGAAGAAATACTGGCTTTTTTCCTACTGCTCTTTTACTCACCGAAATCTGATCACTCATCAGTTGGCCATGCTTTATCTACCCACCTGATGTACCACCAGCTGCAGCAGTACTGTGGACATCAACAGCCTTGGTTTTAGTGTCAGCTGTGCCAGGTTAACCAAGGGGGTGAGCAGGATATGCCGGGTACACACCGCTGTCCCCAGTCCACCCAACCTATGGACAGGCAGTCTGCATTACTCCCTGGGAATCCAATACACTACAGTGCAACGCAGCATCTTTGGTCTTGGTACCAACAGCACTGAATGAACTTGTATTTAACATTATGCAAATAAATCTAAAAGACTTCTTTGAAGTTTCATCCAAAATACAGTTTAAAACACCAATGCAATAATGACAGTTCTTGTGTCCCTGCCTTACTTTTTTTTTTTTTTTTTTTTTTAATTCTTCAAATCTGTATCAATAACAGAAGGAGCTGGCCAGATTTTGGAAAAGAGGTCACTGTGTTTCAGAGACACCAAATCATTTTATAGCAAAAACTGCACACATCCTATGCTAATAGTTTCTGTAAGCTGAGGCTGGAAAGTGCACTGCCTAGTGATGTGCTCCAGGGCACCATAAGGACTGACAGAGGGGGAACAAAAAACAAAACAAAACAAAAAAAAAAAGAGGAGGAGAAAAAAAAGACTCCTCACCTTCTTAACAGCAAGCAAACAAACCACAAAACAATAGCCTGCTGAGAAAGTTTTGAAAGAAAAAAAAATGTGTAGCTTAAAATTAATTACCTTTCAAAGTCATTAGAAATATTAACCAATTAAAATATGTACTAAAAGACTGAAGAGAAAAATATTTTAAATTAAATTTCAGTTAAAAAACTAACCTTCATGTAAGCATTGGTATTGCCACCTCAATTTTCTGCAACAGATTTGTCCCAATGAAAGATTCTCAGAGACAAATTTGAAAAAGAGAAAAAAGTAGGCTATGCTTGATCAGGTGAGATTTCCAAGTGGTTATGGCAACAGCACTATGGATCATTAGCATTTTTTAAAAGAACTCTTCCAACTAGTGCTTCAAGTAAGACAATTAGTACATACACAGTACAGAAAATGTTGTAAACCGACATACTCCTTTTTAATCACCCTGTATTTTGGACACTTGCTACTTTTACTTTACTGTTACAAGAACTGACACTTGTCTTCTCAGGCAAACCAAAGCTCTACTTCAAAAGGCATGAATTTAAGTAGATAGCGTAACCCTACAATCAAGAGACTCTTGCCTTACTGAAATAAAGCATAAACCACCATTTTTCCACGGCCAGTGTTTTTTTACTTAAAAAAGGTGGTAGTGGTGGTCTATTTTTCACCAGGTTTTACAATTTCCTTAGTAGTCATGATCTCTATTTACACTTGCACCTTTCTTGATGAGAATCATTACGTTTTCCTTCCTCTTAGCTGTCAGTGCTCAGGACTCTCCATAAAATCAAGTACCTAGATTCTTGAAATGACCATGTTCCTGGACTAGTGGAAGGTGTCCCTGCTGATGGCAGGGGGGTTGGAACTAGATGATCTTTAAGGTCCCTTCCAATCCTAACCATTCTATGATTCTATGTTCCACCCAACAGGTCATACAAGAAAATGGTTTAATGACACAAATTACCTTTCAAAATTTACACAGGAGCAAAGAACTGATACAAAATTTCCCAATGCAAAAATATTTCCCTTGAAAGTAGACTTCCAAACAAACACATATTTATTAACAGAACCAGAGGAGATTGCTGAGGTATCTTCACAAGAGCATGTGATTTATAGGCAGACCAGGAGCTGAAAAATCAGGCATTTCACAAAGTTAACAACCTCACTGTTACACACAGTAGCACTAGAAAAGCAAGAGATGTGGTTCTTACTTGTCCTTCCCCCACTCTCCCAACTAAGCTATTCAGATAAATTGTCATGGCAACTTGAGTTATACGCCAAGGATAGTAGCAAAGACAAGTGAATTCCCCTTGGAGAACTTGTGAATAGAAGAAGCCCTGGACATTCCGACGCTGGCAGAGACTAAAGCTAAATGCCCTTCCTTGTTACAGGATCCCTGTGTACTACCAGAGCAACTTCTCCCCGCAGTGTTACTCTGCCAGACGCTCTTGCTCAGATTGCAGCCATGAGTCTCCAGTTTATGTCAAAGGTAAGATTGCATCATTTGGAAAAATTCCTACCTTGTGCACTGTACCAGCTTTTACTACATGCAACCTGCGTTCAAAAAGAAATCATGACTTTCTGAAACTAAGAATTCTTTAAGAGTTAACAGTATTTTCCTTATCGAGGAAGTACATAACATTTACTGATTGTAACTCAAGTGTTTCAGTAAAAACTACAGCTTCTTGTTGGGACGACAGCAGTACTGACCATATTTCTTTCAGATCTCTCCACAGTCTCTTCAGAAGAGTGAAAACCACAGAATAAATTCACTTTTTTTGTTCACCTGCAGTCACAACATTTCATGTAACTTTTTTTTCTTTATATATACATACATATATATATATACACACATACACACACACACACAAATATATATGAAGACAAGCAGTAATTTTGCCATATACCTAGTATATCCTCTTTCGGTAAACCAGAAATAATTTAAGATAACTATATGAATGTATGTTGCATATGAACTCTTTTGACACAGATGGTAGCATAAGCACTTCCACTTCATCAACTGGAGTCCTAATATGACAGTCACAGAAACTATCCTCAGCTGGCTACAAAGGCTGTCTTGGCACCACTGATCAGAGCTCCCAGCCTGTGCCTCTAACATCCCTCTCGCCAAATGCTGTACTTGGGGTGTGCAGTGAAGGGCACACTTTCAAAGAGACACTGGACTTGCTGTGTGTACTGAACATGATGGATATTCTCCTATGTCTCTCAGTGGGATGACTTACCCTTGTGTTAGTAACAAACACAACTACCCTTCAGAACATGTAAACATATATGAAAAAAGGGAAGATACAATTCTTCCACCAATTTTTAAGAGTGCTTTCTTTGTAATAGAAAATCCTTTACAAATTCCAACTTGGCCCTAGATGTACAGTAGGCAATTTAAAAAAAAAAACAAAACAAAAAACAAACAAACCACATACCAAAGCAGATAAATAGGCATTTATTAAAGTTCATCTCAAAACAAACAAAAATAATAGAGGACATTAAGGCATCTTGTATTCAGTAACTGTTCATACAGTAAAGATGATTTCTCTTTCTGATACAAGAGAGTAGATTAGGAAAAAAAGTTCTCACAACACATTTGGCAGAACGCTGACTTCTTCCCGCTGTCCCACCACTCAGTCAGGGAACCCCTCCAAGGAACACCCATTTCTCCGATGAAAGAGCTACAAAATCCCAACGCTCATTGAGACACGTGCAAGAAAGCACTTTTCCCTCCCCTCAGATATCCGACCTTCTGTAAAGATGCACACTGGAGAAAGACTGACAGACACTGCAGAGAATAAAGATGACATACTCCTGCTGTAACCACTCATTTTGGATCAGACTAGAATACCTGACCTTGCTTTTGCTAGCATTTGCTATTTCAGCCAGTAACTACTGAAAATGGGACCACAAACTCTAGTCTGGATTGCAATGTAACAATTTTTATCTTTTCATTCTACATTCATATTAGATAAACAAATGACAAAGGTCTTGTTTCCATGGAATAATTTATTTTGATGAATTATGCTGTCAAGTGACCAATCACTGTTATAGTGCTTTTTTCTTCAACTGGAATACGAACATCAGGAAATGTTTACAATATCATTGGGTTCACTATAACAGGATTTTACTACAGAGTAAAATATAAATTAATAAACACTGCATATAGCACTATTCACTTCATCACATTGGCTCTCTATATCCTCTGTCACATTCTAACCTCCATTTAAGGCAAGTTTGTTTGGTTTTTTTCCCAAAGATGACCAACACAAACTTGTGTGACTAGGTTTGCAAGTTAGGAAATTGAGCTTTATAAAATGTTTACTTCAACAAATACGAAAGTTATTAAGAGAAAGATGGTGACCCAAAATTGCACTGTATTAAAAGGTGGAGTTTCCTTGTACCAAAGTCCTTTATTCATCATCTTTAGAACCAGTTTTGCTTAACTATAAAAGAGACACAAAAAGAAAGTATTCAAAGTTTAGACTGCCATTCCATTTATTAAGAAACAAGAACATTATCTCCATCTTACATAGAACACATGTATATTTAATTAATAATACAGACTGATTGTGCTTCAGTACCAAGAGACTAAAAAGCATCAAAAATTATTTCTTAAGCTTAAACACTAAATGAGCTTATTTCCTGAATGTGAAAGTTGATTTTAAAAAAACAACAACACAAAACCCCAGAAAAACCTCAGGGTACTGTTTCTATTTAATTTGAAGACTCCATCACCAGCTCTCCAAAATAAAAAAAGATGAAGTAATGGAAAAAGTACCTCCACACATTTCAGAGAATTCCCATATAGAATTTACACAATACAAAAAGAGATATTCTACTATTTCTCTCTTATAAAAAGCTATTTATAATTATTAAATGCAGTGCATCTATCATGAAATGTATCTGGAATCCAAGATATCCACTACAAATAGCCACTTTTAACTCAGAAGGACTCTGCCCAAAATGACCCTCATCAAATACTTGCTGTTATTTGACAACAGAAACCGGTGTTAGGTCTTACACCGAGAATTACTTATAATTGCATAAAATAAAATACTTTGCTTTCAAAACTGCCAAGCAGCTGTACTGATTTCCACTGAAACAGCAAAGACGAGAGGGTGGAACAGGTCAATGCTTAGGAAGCAAGTAGAAAAGAATGATTCACTGGAGGAGTTGTGGCAAAGAATGCCCAGGCTTGTAGAAGACAGCAAGGAGCTCCCACTTGGGACAGCTCCTTTTTTCTGCTTACTCGCCCATTGCCCTCCAGAATCTGGCAGCACCACTAACTTTATTTTACATCCTGTCACCATATGAAGACAGACTATTTGCAGTGCATTTGGCTAGCAAAGGTCTCTCATCAGAAAATTATAATTTAATTGCTCAATAAATAAAAAAAGAAATATTAGACCAACAAAGTTCAAAGAGGAACCAAAATCCTTCTGACTCTAATGCACTTTTAAAGCACTGAAGAAATATGTAAATGAGAATCCAAAATGAGTAACAGTTCTTATTACTTCTTGCAAATATTTTTAAAATTTAAAAAAAAAGATAACTTGAAAATACTTACATGCTGGACACATATAGAAACAAATCAGACACCACAGTCAAATCCAAACAAAGTTAAGAAGAAAAGCAAGAAAAAAAAAAAATCAGGTTAGTTTTATTCAGATATATGTACAAATTATTTTTAATGTACATATGCAGTATTTTAATAATAGTGCATATAATGCAGTCACGCTACCTTAATTACGTCCACCCAGTTCCATCCTCGCGGAAGCTCTCCTTTGTTATCTGCAGAGTAAGAAGGTTTTATTTGCAACACACAAGCTAAGGGGAATCTTTATCTTTCTTTAAAACCAACACATGAAATTCTAAAGATCCAAAACTTTCATTTGTCCACTACGAAGCCATGAGGACAAAAGTAGATATTAATGTCTTAAACACATCTTGTTCTTCAAAGTAATTCTGTTTAAAGAAGAACACCTCAGTCCACCTGACATTTAATTTAGAAGGCAACTCCAACATGAGCTGGGCAGACCGGCAACGATGCATTCTGCCAAGGAACAAAATTTTACACAACTTTTCCTTTATACAGTCAACATTTAATTTGCCAGTTATACATTAGGTTATGTAAATTATGTGCAGAAATTCCTATCACAGGGTACAACTTATTGCTGCAATAGGACAGTATTATCCAGATCATTATTAAAAATTAAGGTAGAACATATGAAAGTCATCAGCAGGATTAGCTGAAATGTTGAACACTTTTCAATCAAAACCCTACCATTTCATTGAAAGCATACGGTATCTGCAGAAGCACCTCTATTTTGAGGATACAAACTAAATTAAATGTTTTATTTTGGGTTCCAAAACAAATACTTTAATTTAGAAATTACATTTTTAATAACGTGAAGTATTTACGAGGACCCTTCAACAAACCATGTCTTTGTTGAAAGTGAATTTTTAGAAGCCCCAAATACTCTCCTCTCACAATTATTTTTTGAAAATTTTGCTTTTGTCACAAACCAAAATAAAAAACAAAACAAAACCAATGACATCTTGAAATCCTTACTCTACAGAAAGTTGATTTGACCAGAACTAACATTCCAGGCAAGAATAATTCATCTAAACCAAGCAAAACAGAGAACACAGCCTTAAAGTAGTTAATCTTATAAACAAGTAACTACTGATTCTGACTATAGCAAGATGTCACCGCTATCAAATTCGGATTCTCATGCTGCTCAAATAAAGCAACACTATAGTGAACAAACCTGTTTTATCAGCTAGTTTTCGTTTCTGAGTTTTGGACAACTGCTCCTTTTTTTCTTTTTTCTTACTGGCTGGCACATCAGGAGTTCCAATTGCAATACTATTGCTTACTGAAGTCTGAGAAGGATAAAAATGGTTGTTAATATTTTGCATATTAGTTCCACAGATACCACTTTGTGTGGTTACTGTACCACTCAGTGATTACTGAGCCCAACACACTGAAATACCTTGACCCATCAGAAAGAAGTAATGCTGTTAGCAGTCTGCAGTTTTAATCAACATGTAATCATGACTGTAATTTGTGCTGGGGACTGGAATTCTTCCCTTTCAGAGTTGCAAAGGGCACCTCTTAAACTTTTTAGATTTAATGATGGAGTGTGATTTAGTCTGAAGGGATTCAGACTTCCCAAACAGGGAAACCATTCCTTCTTCCTCAAAGCAAATCTGTAGCACCAGAATGGCCAATAATGTCCTTACACAACACAGAAGCCACAAATAGACCCAGCCTGACTCATTCAAGACCCTGGAGGTGCACTTATGCAATCCATTGTATCCCAGGAAGGCTGCAGTAATTTGCCCTCAAGCAGATGCTGTTTCAGCTCTCTTTAGTTTCGCTTCTGCTCCAAGATTCCATTTTTATGTTACTTTGTGGGACAGAACTGCAGCCCACAAACATTTTGGTATAACAGCAAGCTAACAATTAAACATAACAATTAAGACCACAGAGCACTGTGGCACCGTACTCTCTGTGCCGCTGTTTAACCACTAACTGGTGTATAACCAATATACTGATTGACAACTTAAAGATGAGCTATGAAGTATTTAGAGTTGTAAGAACCATTTTTTGCAGTTTTAAAAGCAAGAGATTAAAATCTGAGTTTGTCTACTTACCACAGTGTTAACAGGCTGATTTTCCATGAACAATTCTTTATTATCTTTGGCATATTCAAAAAGTGTGTATGTCATAGCAGTTCCAAGATTCGCTTCAACTTCTACCATTAACTTATCCAATATGCTTTGTTTAACAGCTGAAGATCTAAAAGAAACCATAAAGCTCAACTATAATCTAGACAGCTGATTAAAAGCTTGTCAATCAAAAAGCCCCCACATAAAAGTCTAGGGAGTGAAGCTGTCTCAAATACTTACATTGTGTTGTTGAAGAAAGCATCCATCGATATGACTGGTGCTGTCTGTGGATATGTTTCTGGCCAAGAAACTTCTACGAGAAAGGCTTTAGGATCTCCATTTTCACCTATCTGAAGGGAAAAGAAAAACTTTAGACATCACCAGTTCCCATTTATTAAGGATTACAATGCCAATATGCAAGTCTTTAACTTCTTTAAGACTATTCAAATTCCTTAAGTTCACAACTATTTTTAGAAAGTTTTCAGCCAGAAAATAAAGCTGGTATCTAGAAAAAGTATTAAATTTATGACATCAATATTAACCTCTACCCTGCGGTTTTCTTCCTAGGAAAAGCAGCAGAAACATTCAAAGCTCTCTTTATGGTTTTTTTTTTTTTGTTTGGTTTTAAAAGCAACTTTGTAGCATCTGCAAGCCAAATATTATATAATCATATATGACAACAGAAAAGATGAAGCCTTTTTTCCCCTCCATGCATCCAAGCTCAGAGCAATATGAAAACAAACCACAAGCCAGAGCTGAAATAAAGACAATGATAAACTAGTGACCTGTGATAGCAAAAATAATACATAAGAATTTCAGTATTTACATCACATTCCTACAGATATTTTATTTCACTGTAAGAAAGAACGAGTAGTAGAAGATTTCAGAAGAATGAGACTGGATAAAAAAAGAGCACAACATTAAAAACCCCACATGCTTTAATATAAAAAATCGTGCACATCGAACCAATTTAATAAACCCAAATTACATATACAATCCTTACAATTATGTTAAATAAAAAAACCAATTTTTTTTTATTTAAAAGTAGTACAGGTGCTACCAAAGAGGTACTATACAAGCAGAAATAACTGTTTCATAGAAGGATTTGGAAGACTAGTACAACAAAGTTGATTAAATCTGTATTCTAAAACCACACGAAAATTCTCCCTTATTTCCCTCACTGTAGAATAGGCAAAATCCAGCTTCTTCAAATGATGTGGAATGAAGCGTAGCCAGAAAAAAAAAAGTCCTAATCAAGGTATGCCTACTGTCCTTCAAAATTAAAATAAAAAAGAAAGAAAAGAAAAAATATTGCTTTTTTATTCATGACATTTGTTTTAGCAGAGTGGGCTAACTGACATTCAGAAGCATCTGTTTTAGACGTGAAATAAATAATAAATAAGTGATAAATAAATCAGGAATCCACAACATTTACCAAGAGATTATCTAGAGTGTTGCAGTCCAGTTCCCACTGCTGCCAAGAAAAGAACTGGTGGTACAGTTTGCAAGAATTCTCTCAGAAAAGCACCCTCTGCACACCGGGCAAATCCACGGAGAAAGCTGCGTGACCACGCTCCGTCCTGCCAGTGCAACGTAAGAATTGGGCAGCCTTACCTGATGACCAACAGCCGCTTTGTATGAGACACACAAGACAAACGAGACTCAGAAAAATGGCATACTAATTCTACCTCCTCATGCACTTACTTGCCCTGTGCCTTCTCATCATACAAATTCTTCTTCACGTCTGACACAAGTTTTACAGTATTTAAATTGAGTTCTAACTTTTGACAATAATTTTTTGTCTAATAAAAATTAGCAATGACCAAAGCTAGTAAAATGTTGAACGAGGCACTGTAGACTTGTAGGCATGTCATATCTGCTCTTTTGAGGAGATTAAATTTACTAATAACGGTCCTATCAGTGAAGGAAGGCTGCACTTACATAGATGGGATTCAAGTGCTATTAATTTAACTGACTTACCTCATTACAATTACTGATGCTCTTCTGTAGTTCCTTGAGAAGTCACAAAAAGGTTATTTTAGATGCCTCCTCCCCACTACAGGGATATGGAGTTTTCAGAAGTCTCCCTTCTGTCCTACGGGTGCCTAAGTTTTCACCACTAAAGTTCTCTGGCTGTCCAAAGATCTGACTCAGCCCATGCTCAGAAGAACTTAGAGGTCTTTAATTTGAGAAAGCTGGTATGAATTTCATGCCAGAATCTAACTACATATCTCAAGCTCAGCACCCCCTGTACGTCTATCGTGAGCAGATCGTACCAGTGCACACGCCCAAAGCATTTAGTGGGTTTTCTCTTTAGCAGGCAAACAAGGCACGTCAGCTACTTCTGGACAAGAGACGAGAACCTCGCAAATGAGAAATAGGGAAGGTTCGGAGCTTTACCTATAGAAGATCCTGTAAGTGCCGTTTCTGACCAGTTTGGGTAGTTCAAGCATTGCTCAGCACGCTGGCTCCT